GTATGTGTGAGAGCGTGTGTGTGAGAGCGTGTGTGTGTGTGTGAGCAAGCGTGTGTGTGTGAGCGAGCGTGTGTGTGTGTGTGTGAGCGAGCGTGTGTGTGTGTGTGTGAGCGAGCGTGTGTGTGTGTGTGTGAGCGAGCGTGTGTGTGTGTGTGTGAGAGAGTGTGTGAGAGAGTGTGTGTGTGTTTTTGAGAGTGTGTGAGAGCGTGCGTGTGTGAGAGAGTGTGTGTGTATCATTAGATTGAAAGCAGCTCATGTAAACCCGTGTGTGTGTGTCATTAGATTGAAAGCAGCTCATGTAAACCCGTGTGTGTGTGTGTGTGTGTCTCAGGGCTCGTTTCACTCTCCGCTGGACTCCAGTCGCTCCACACGGCATCATGGTCTGGTGGAGCGGGTTCACAGAGACCGGCGCTTCGTCTCTCCCAGCAGACCCTACAGGAGACAAGTATCCTTCCCGTCTCAGTCTCTCCTGCAGGTTTAAGTGTGTCTCAGGGCTCCAGACTAACTATTTTTACTAGGAGCACTGTAGCCCGACTGAAAATTTTTAGGAGCATAAGCAGAAAATTCAGGGACACACCTTAAAACTGCCTGCAATGCAATCGTTCACATATTTCCCCATTTTAACTGTATTACTGACAAATGCTTTGATAATAAATAGACTTAACTCATAGTAGGGGCCCCCCCCCATTTTGTATTACTGACAAATGCTTTGATAATAAATAGACTTAACTCATAGTAGGGGTGTGCGATATGACGATTTTTGATCGTGGATGATAAAAATGTCTCCGTGATCTGCTTTTGAAGAAATATCGTAGTATTGTTTGCTACAGCGCACATTCTATCAGCTGCAGTTCTGGCGCCGCCGTATCAATATACTGTACAATGCCACATACATTCACTTCAGTGTTAACTCGGCGATAGAGTTACTCTCACAGGACACGGCACTTATTCGCAATCACAAAAGTGCATTATTTGCATCTGCTTTAAAGCCTTGCCGTTTAAACGTTTGATTCTCCATTCACGTGCTGTTCTGACGTGCGCTGTCTCTGAGCGTGTACAGCTGTAGCGCGCACGCACACACTAAAACAGCACCTGATTACTGGATTAAGTTATCTTCCGCGCTAATACTGTCAAAACACACAAGGTTTACATACAGACTCAGTTGATTATGTCAACAGTTGAAAGAAAAACGCATGTGTGTCTGTATATTAGATGCATGCAGCTCTTAAAGGGACAGTACTAAACATGCTGCCGACTGTCATTAAAGGGATAGTTCACACAAAAATTACATTTCTGTTATTATTTACTCACTCACACGTTGTCCCAAACCTGTATTAATTTCTGTATTAAATTGTCCACAAAAGAGGATATTTTAAAGAATGTGGGTAACCAAACAGTAGCTGGTCCACACTGATTTTGATAGTAGGAATAAAAGTTACTATGGAACTCACTGGGGACCAGCAACTGTTTCAAAATAACATTTATGTTCAACAGAAGAAAGAAAGTCATTCAGGTTAAAAGAAAAACAACTTGAGAGTGAGTAAATTAATTAATTTGTGGGTAAACTATCCCTTTTAATGTTAATAAAACAACATAAGAACTTTAATACAGTTGCTTTAAGAATCAATGTATAATTGATGTATTTATTGTTTTATTTTTATATTTGTTAATTTAATTGCTTGAATGCTACTTCTAAATACACCTACAGTACCTGAGAAATAAAGCACTGTTTGTTTTATTTAATATGGAAATTAGTTTGGCTTTACTGCTCAGACAACTTGAAAAATAGTAAAAACAACATGACAAAGAATCGTGATAAAATCGTGATATTCCTGAAAAAAACCAAAAAAAAAACCCTGATGTGATATTTTTGCCATATCGCCCACCCCTAACTCATAGAAATTACAATGTGCACTATTCTTTTAATTTCAGAGGGATATGACAAATATATATATATATATACATATATGATATGATAAAAGTACTATTTTGCATTAGCAAGTGCAGTTACTAATAATATTACATGTTCATGTTTATTATACACATTTGACAGTAAAGCACTAAGCTTGAGTTGGGAAGCTTACAAAATGTATTTTATTAAAAATCAAAATTTTTATGTAGAAGAGGTATATAATGTACTCTTATTAAATGTACCATTATTCTTCTATAGTCTTATATGGAACTGACCAACAACTTCAGTGATTATGAGCACTTTGCACATTTATGAGCACAAAGCACTTTGTGACTTTTCTTACTTCATGCAAAAAAAAAAGAGCAAAACTCTGACAAAATCTGATTTCTGGGTGATTTGATATTTTATAATAGTGATTTTATAATTGTTATTAGACTTGTGCCGGTATTCGGTAATGCGATATATCACGGTAATGAATATGCACGATATTGTTATCGTGGGCACTTCTAAATACCGTGAATAATTATATATTACAAATTATTTAGAATTTTGAATGCATTTTAAGAATACTTTTCCCATAAACTGGTCAAAATGCACAACACCGCTGTATGCTGCGTGAAAGACGCATGCGCACTCTGATGTAAACAAGCGCGGACGAGAAGCACATGGCGGAACATGTGAGAGACGCTCTGGATGAAAGCGCACTTTCACTCTCTGACAGCAGATGGCGCTAAACTGCAGAAATAATAATAATAATAATAATTTTAAATGCAGCCGTTACCCTGGAAACCCTG